AATATATATATATAGTACAGACCCTAACCACCACAGACAAAGAACGAAGCAAAAGAAGCAAACAAATCGTCTGCTAAGGGTTTAGGGTTTAGGGTTTAGGGTTTAGAGGTACCTGTGGCTCTGTGGAGGTGAATGGGTCTTGGTGTGACTCAATAAATAGTTGGAGAGATCGAGGAGCAGCAGAGAGGGCGTCAGCGCTCTGAATAGAAACCCTAAACCCTAAACCCTAAACCCTAAACCCTAAACCCTAAACCCTTATAGAGGGGAAACCCTCATATACAAAAAAGAGAAAATAACATAATAAAACACTAATCATTTAATCCTTTTTATTTATTTATTTATTTATTTATTATTTATTTATTATTTATTTATTATTTATTTATTTTTTATTTACTTTTTATTTATTTTTTACTTAATAGACAAACCTCAAGCAATAAAGTAAATGCAATTCTTCTTAATTGATTAACTCTGCATGCAGGTCCTGCTTCCCCAAGCTGTATGTACACCTCAAGTAATTTAAGACATGCTGCTGTGTGCTGCATGCAAACAGCAAATAAATACAGCAGCAAGGATGCATGCGCAGAGCTAGTCATGATGCATGCAAACTGCCGCTACAGGGGGACAGAGACAGCTAGCTAGCTAGCTAGCTAGCTAGCTAGCTAGCGATAGTTACCTCTCTTGCCTGCCCAGAGAGGACAACGCCATCCAAGAGGTTGACGAGCTGCTGGCCAGTGAAGCTACGCTGCAAGGCAAACACTCCAAACCCTAAACCCTAAACCCTAAACCCTAAACTCTTAACCCGATAACGTGGCCTCTGTCATGACTCCTACGGGGACTAACGTGCAGAGCAACAAACAAAGGAATGTGGCAAACCCTAAACCCTAAACCCTAAACCCTAAACCCTAAATCCTGCTGTAGCTCACCCGTAGGTGGAGGGCTTGGTTAAGGAGAGCTTTGAGGGTTTGTCTGTCTGCTGCTGCTGCCTTGGAGGCCCCAAGGGCCCCCAAGGAAATCTCACAAGGAGATAGATCCTTTTGCCTCTCCTGCAGCAACAGCAGCAGCAGCAACAAAAGCAGCAGCAACAGCAGCAGCAGCAGCAGCACGAGCAGCACAATACAGCAGCAAGAAGTATGCAGACAGTGTAACGGTTACTAGTCTTAAGCAGCAGCAACAGCAGCAACAGCAGCAACAGCAGCAGCACCAAATCCAGTACCCGCCCCACCACACCACTAAAACAACCACAGCAGCAGCACCAGCATCAACAGCAGCATCATCAACAGCAGCAGCAGCAGCAGCAGCAGCAAGAAATAATTTACCGTTAATAATGTGTTAATAATTATCCATGCTTCTTTGTGCTTAACGCCAAGAAGACCAAAACAATTCGCAAAAATAATTAATTGATTATTCGTCAACTTGCTGCCAGCACTGCAGCACAAATATACACAGGTATACCTGCTGCAGCTGCTGTTGCTGCTGCTGCTGCTGCTGCTGCTGCTGCTGGGTATGTGTTAGCTTATTTACCTCTGTATATGTTTACAGACAACATTAAGAATTATTTTTTCTCTTATTTGTTGTTTTGCTGCTGCATGCAGCACAAGACATAAACTATGAGAGGATAGGCCTTGCTGCATCCTTATAGGAGCAGCTAGCTGCTGCTGCTGCTGCTGCTGCTGCTGCTGTTGCTGCTGCTGCTGTTCTAGCTTTTGCTGCCGCTGCTGCAGCACACAACCTATTCTCTTCATTATCTTCGTTGCTCGCTGCTGCAGCAAAGACAGCGACAAGGCTAATAGCGCAAGGCCTTGGCCATCGAGCTGCTGCAGTTGCTGCTGCTGCTGCAGTCTCTTCTGCAGCAGCAGCAGCAACCGCCATGGCAGCACCTGCAGCAGCGCGTACTCATATAAGCAGCAAACAAGAGATTTTGCTGTTGCTGTTGCTGCTCGCTTCTCTAAGGTCCATGCACAAACCCTCAGCACTTTCAGGCTTATTTTGTTCAGGCTGCTGCTGCTGCTGCTGCTGCTGCTGCTGCTGCTGCTGCTGCTGCTCTTGTTGCTTTTTTTGCTCTTTTTGCTCTTTTTGCTCTTGCTGCGCTTGCTGCTGCTGCGCCCTTTGCTGCTGCCAGCAGCAGCCGCTTGTTCCTCCATCGCCGCAATTCTCTCCTCCGCCTCCGCTCGAGGGTTAAATCGATACCTTACCCACACCACAAACCCTAAACCCTAAACCCTAAACCCTAAACCCTAAAAGCCCTAAACCCTAGTAAATAAAAAAACCCTAAACCCTAACGTCTTATGTCCTAGGGGATAACGATGCGGTTTGGCATTAGGGTTTGGTGTTTGTGTGCAGATAATTGCCTCTAGGGTTTGAGCAAGGGTTTAGGGTTTAGGGTTTAGGGTTTAGGGTTTACTTGCGAATAGTATAAAGAAGACATGCAGCATCGAACTCATTAACCTGTCCTGCATCGCGCAGCACGTGCTGCATAAGTGCTGCTAAATGCATGCGATCT